CCCCCCAGATTTGCAATAACCATACACCGGCTATTTCCTCAAGACACTCTATTCCATATACCTTTTACCCGTGCTTCTCCTACACTACGGACGCCGTAGTGTATGTACAGTCCGTATGATGTCAGAAATGCTTACCCCTCTTTCCGACTCAAGGCATACAAAAGCGGAGGGTAAATTTACCCCCCCAGATTTGCCGATCACGCATCTTCGTGCCTGCCAACGAGTGCACCCGGGTTGTTCCAATGTACCCTTCCCAGTCAGCGATGTCACACTTACATTCTTTAGCGCAAAGTATGTACATAGCAACCTTCCTCCCAAAACATGTAATCCCTACATGCTTTGCCGACTATGTAACTAGTACATCCGGTGCGATTCGGCTAGCTTTCGACCTCTCCCCCTGGCCTCAAGTTTAACCGTGCAATTCACGATTGTGTGGGATGGAGTTGGTCCCTCAAATAGCGAGACGCGGTATTGCCTCAATTCTTTCCGTTTGAGACCAGGCGGTGAGGCGTGGTTGTCATGACTCTTCCATAGCCACGGATTCCCGGTGGCCACGTGCCAAGGGGAAACTCGCACCAAGCTACGGCATTGCTACAGCCTCCTGGCTGTCAGATGTTGAGTGACACATTGCATCAAAATCGACGTTCATGCATGCATGGATGAATACTGCATCAGTGGAAGAGAGCAGAACGTCATTTTCAATCTCAAAAGCTGGGCTTCTGTTTCCTTTTTCATCCGACCATCAGTTTGGTGGACTCTTTGCTCTTTATTTCCAAGGAAGGGCGAGCTCTCCAGAGAGTTGCTGCACAAGCTTTGGGACAAGGAGAAGTTTCATGGTCAGGAGGTGGGTGACGTAAGCCAGACCCTTTTTTGCTCTTCATTTTTGTTGGAACAGCAGCGGAACGTGCATTGGGCCATTGGGCCAGTTCGGTGGCCCTCCGATCTCCAGAAATCTTCAAGCTGGGAATTCTTGGGAATTCTTCAGGTCCATTGGAAGTCCAATATGAGCTTTCGAGATAAGACCATTACAACCAACCATCACATCACGCGTCTCAGGCCACTTTACGAGCGTTCCTGGAGCATTTCAGCCTGCTGGTGCCCGTCGCAGGCGCGCAACCCGTTGGGGCCGTCCACAGACGGAGAGGAAACGATACGAGACGGCGGTTCATGGAAGAATTTGGTGTGTGCAACATCTGGGATCTTCTTTTTCTGTGAAGGTAGCACCTTGAGCAGCCCCAGCCACTGGCTGGTGCCCAGCCTGCTGCCGAAACGCCGCTCTGGACCCGCCCAGTCGGATCAGGTGGCGCAGGCGAGTTCCGACGCGACAAAGGGAGTTCGGCGACTTCGTCTGCGGATTTGATGAGATCGGAGGAATAGAGTCCTCAATGCTGGACTGTCATGGTCCTTTGCATGTCTGGTCTCACATGGACCCTGTTTTGAGGAGCCCTCAGAGCAGCGAAACAAGCAAACAAACTATATAACAAACCTTGAGAAACGCATTGCTGGGGAACTGCATATGATCAGTTTCGAAGAGTCTTGATCGCCGTCGCTCTTCTTTTCGCCTCCACCTACGCGCAACGCGCAGGCGGCGCTGTTCTTCGACTTCCACGGCGCGCTGCGGCAGCTGTTGCCTTCGCTGCTCCCGCGGCTCTTTGGACGGCTTCAGCTGAAACATGAGACCTTGCGCGGGAAGATGCTGTGCCAGGAGACTTTGGTCTTCGACATTGCAAAATAAGGATGTAAACAGGGACAGATGGACTAGAAACTGAGCAACATGCATTTGTTGGAACAGACATTTAGGACATCTGGCTCCGAAGTCTGTCTTCCATGGGTGCAGTATCGAAAAGCATGTCAATCCAGGGTATTGCCAAGTGAAGTCCTGGCCTACAAAAACTCTACTCGTAGCTATAGGTGAGTTTGGTGCAGTGGTCCGACACACATCATTTGATCGGCTTCAACACCATGTTTTGACTTGCCCATCCCTTGAAAAACCCTCCAGGACTTCTTGGCCTTTTCCATGGGATCCGTCTTTGTGACCCTGGAGCTGATTCACTTGGAGCCTCTTGGCGTGCGTTTTGTGGGGAGCGGGTGGTCACGGTGATCCAATGCGTTGACCCAACCTGGGCGCTGGGAAAGCAGATGAAAGCTTAAGAGGGGAGTCTGGCTTTAGCCGATGGCAAGTCCGGGAGAGGAACTCCCCGTTATTTTTTTCGAGCTTCTTGTCAATGACAGAAAAGACGCGCCAAAAACAGCTCGTCACTCAGCGACCAACAATTGACTCTGAGGCCTTGTGAGACTTTGAAGCTGACGGTCACTGCATCAGAAGAGACTCAAGTCAACCATCAAGTGATGCGGCCCGGCAAGCATTGAAGGCGTCACGCACGTCACCTGTTGCTTGGGGAGGATACCTTTTTCAGATGGATTTAGCAGAGATGGAGCCGTTTCAAAAGGTGCAACACCCTGGCTGGCTCCCCACATGAACACACACACGCACACACTGGCATGCGGCATGCACCATCGCAGGCCTTTTGGCCTTTGCTGCATGTGTGCAACACATCGTTTTGCATATCACATCAATTTGAGCACCGATGGTTTCAAGGTCTGGACCTGCAACTGAACGTTTCCCAAACGTCCAATGGGACGTGATGACTACTTGCAACATGTATAAAAATGTAGCAAACATGGCCCCCGCAAGCTTTGGCCACCCTGAACGGTCCAAAAAACATATACAATCCCATATTTGGAAACATCATGATCTGAAATATACCGTCAACATCCATCAACCGGTTCTCACGTTCTATATACCGGTTTTCGTGAACCCCCCCCAACACTGACGTCCTCTTCTCCGTCTCGGCACCGAAGGCCGACACCGAAGGGCCGAGGGGTCGTCTCTGAGGTCTCACGTCTTTGAGCTCGTCTCCGAAGGCTTGTCCTCGTGTGTGCCCAAGCTTTGCTTCTCAACGAAGGTGCCATGTCCACAGTGCCCAGGCAGGTGCTCTCCGACCGCGGACCGGCGTTGGGAGAGGACCGGTGGCGGATTTAGCACACTGGTAGGAGCGGTATACTATCGCGGGTACGTATCTTTGTGGGAGTTCTGAAGGGGGACATGGAATGAAGATGGAGGATGGTTTGCCTGTGGGACCGTGTGGGAAATATAGGGAGACTTTTGAGTGAACCGGCAACAGGGAGTTTGCACCTCTGGCCACCAATGCAGCTTCGGAGTCCAAAAGGATTTAACAAACACAACATCAATCTACATCCACAAACTGAATCAAACTTACTGTATACATTATCAGGTATAAGTTAGACTATACGTAGGACCTTTGTGCATGTCTCAGCCTTTCTGTGACGGGACCTCCAGGTCCGGGCCCAGCCCCCCACGTTGGGCTGGCGAGGCCGAAATGGCGCCTCCCACACCCCAACCATGACGCACCACCCCAACCACCACCATGGATTCCGCACCACCATTTTCCAGCGCATGGCGAGGCCTCTCCGGAGCTCCGCGGCATCTCTTGGATTTGAGCGACGTGCTGTCGGAGCTGCAGCTCTTCTGTGCCGCGTCGCAGAGCGTCTTCTCGGAGCGGTCCTTGCCAGCCGCTCGGCGGGGGCCGGGCGGAGAGTTGGGATAGCGGAGGGACCGGGGAGGCGGTTGGGGGGGGGGTGGTTGGTTGGCAAAGGGAAATGGTTTTGAGCAGCAAGAAAGGTGTAGCCAGGTGTAGCCATGTCTATCTACTTCAGCCTGTTTTCTGGGGTCCGCCGGAGCAAAAGAACACCAAAGAATCATTACACTTGGTCTGAGGCATATTTGCGTGCGTGGCGAGCATTTCAACTGGAAAGCGAGAAGGGATCGGATGTTCCAATAGGCGAGCTCGGGAAATGGTTGAGGCAGTCAACCAAAAGCAGTCGACAGATTGGTGCATTGATGCCCTACAAACGAACATGGTGAAGAAATACAGGTCAGTCAGTCGTGACATGTTTGATCGCTTTGTTCCTGAGATGACTCCATTTTACATTACATTAATTTACATTACATACAAGAAGAGCCACGCCTCCTCTATGTTGACATTTTTCATGTTCCTTCATGCTCACTTTGCTCCAGCCTTGCATGCCATGGCACTACTTTTCGCCGCCAACTCCTTGCGTGATTTTCCAACTCGCTGGCTTGTTCTACTGCAGGTGAGCAGAGCTGTTCCAGCCTGGAGAACCTGGGTGATGCCATTTTTCAGCTGGACTTCTTGTATTCCTCGCCCCTGGTCTACGGCCACCTGGCCAGAAACCGTGCGGGGTGTGGGGGCGATCTTTTTCTGAACGGTTTGTGCACAGTCGCTTTGCAGGTGATGAAGCCAAGCAGGGATGGAAAGCAATCATGTGTTTGGCAGTCTGTTGAGGCTCAGCTGTTTGGGCTTGAATTGATCTTCTTCACTAAAGACTCTAAAGACGCATACCATCAGGTATAAACTACAAATCACATTATGGTTTCGGGTTGGTCAACCAGCAGGCGGTTTTCTCTTTTTCCCACCCAACAAATCCATGTCGGCGCGACAGCCATCGAACTCTCTTACTTCTCTTGCGCGTGAATCTGCACTTGCCAAAGGGCCAAAGGATGATTGGACCCTCAGTTCGCTAGGGTTTTGACCCTCACAGCTAGGGTTTTGGATCTCAAACACAATGAGCAGTTGGTTCGGGTCAGCATCTGGGTTGCTTCTATTCTGACCAATTGGGGCACTGGCACTTGGTCCTTGGTACCATGCATTACCATGCTCTATATTTCCCTCTGTTGCCAACACTTTGAGAGGCCGACAGCCCCTTGCTGCGTTGGACACCATGTCCGAACTGCAGGTTGGCGTTACGGTTTGTTCCCCACGGGTTCTGTGTTCTTCCGAGGGCGAGGGCGGGTGACATGGCGGTGTGACATGGGTGTTGCGGGTGGTGTAAAGGAGAACCCCCCCTGCGGTGTTCTCCATCCGAAAAAACGGCCGAATTGTAGTGCTGGTAGTGGAGTGGTGGGTTGTTTCTTCTATCTGTTTTGGGAGTCAGGCAGGGTCCTATCACTCATGGCCAGGGTCGGTACTTCTCCTGGCCCTTCGCTTGGTGCACTCGAGTTCTCACCAAGAAAAGAGCGAACGAGATGGTCTCACCAGAATATCTATCAGGAGTTTCATGTCGGGGTGCCGAACTTGGGGGGTTGGGGTGTCCACTTAGCGACTGCTGACAAGGAACTGCTGGTAGGTAGTAGGGAGGCGTACAGGAACTGCACCTCAAGTTGTTGGTGACTCGTCGTACTCACCTGACCGTTGGAGATCGCTCGGACGATCAACGACTTCCTTCGCCTTTCTTTCGCGGGGGATCGAAAAAAAAGCTCCAGATCCTCTGAAAAGAGGCCCCGGGTCGGCCGGGACACTTCGCCCGGGCGTCGCCCAGCGCGCTTGCTCAGCTCGGCAGGCCTTGCAAGGCATCGCGGGCCTTTCGCCCAGGGTTGAAGTGGCCACCTTCGAGTCCCTGCAGGAGCGCCACCTGGGCGCCGGACCGAGCGACCGAGTCGGTTCGGGCGTCACCGGCGAAACCGGGCCCCCCCGGCCGTGGCCGCGGCCAGACATCGGCAGAGTCGGAAGCAGGAGGGTCACCTGGCTCCGACGTGGACATTGCCAGAACATCGAAGATGGACCCGACGGAGGGACGGAGGACGGAATACCCTACGGTTTTCTCACCCCCAGCCTATCCCAGCCTCCTCCTGTTTGCACCCAAAAGGGCTGTGGCCTAAGTGGACGAGTTTTTGGCGCTGTTTTCTTCCGTCCGTTGCAAGAAACCGTAGTGTTGTTGGATGATACGGAACTTGCTCAACTGCCTGAGCATTGGGATGGCTGATGACAATCAGAACATGGTAGGGTGTTCCACAGATTGGACGACACATGTCCAGACAAAGCCTAGACAGAAGAGGATAGAAGAGGATGTCAAGCTACATTGTAGCGATGGGGACGCATGGAGGAACCTGCCAATGCAAACACTGATCGCCTTCCCTTGGAACCAACTCTCAGCCTGCCGTGTTTGAGGATGCCCTCTTGCGGAAAGCAGAGCTTCCAACCGTGCAACTTGTCAATGCCAGTTGTGCCAGTTGTGCCATGGTCTAAACAGAACTGCAGGTAGACTGTCATCCATGTTTCATGGGACCACAGCCCCCCAACAGTGGTCCTAGGAAGGATAGGATGAGCACCCCGAGGAGTCTTGACCATGGCACAGTTGATGCACATTGGCTGCTTGACACTTGATGGGACAGAACTACGGTTGGCTCCTAGTGTTCTCTTGCATTAGTTACAATCCTATCTATACTTTAGAGTATACTATATAATATATATATATCTATGTTTGAATCTGAAGGTTCTTTTCTTCCATGCTGTGCATTCCAGTTTGTTTCAATCCCATTCGACATTTTGCTGTCAACGCAGACAGTCAGGCAAGGTGGGGCATTCCTGAGAATGTGTGTTTTGCCCTCACCCCTTCCTTCACCCGGGCTTGTGGTTTTAGTTTGGCTTCGAGTATGATAGAAACCAGGTTTCTGCTTTTTTCACACGCAAGGCTGCATCTCTCCGCACACATCGGCTCCCCCATGCCTCCAGCAAAGCCTCTCCTGCTTTTGGAGGCGCAATTCTTGTAGCATTTGAGGGCTGTCGGTTTCACTTCAGAAGTGATGAAGCAGGGCCCAGGCGAAGATCGGCCAAATAATTATTGGTTGATTTGGTTGCCGTTCAGCGCTTGAAGCGATTCTAAGAGAGAGAGAGAGAGAGACACTCAAGCAAAGACCTTCCCATAACGTACTGTATGCGCGTGAACCTTCTCGCAGTCCAGTCTTCTGTAGCTTTCTAGATCGGTCTTTTGGAGAGTCAATCGGAGCGGCCCATAGTCATGAAGAATGATGGTTCATGAAGTCATGCCGGTTCAGCGATCTTTCCATTTGTCGTTTTGCAATCTCCCTCTTTGACGTGGCGAGTTGCAGGCCACTAAACTCTGTTGTAAAGAGGCCTTGGGCCCAGAGCTCACTCGACGGGCTCGGGTGGCCAACGCCAGAGCTCCCACGCTCCGGTGCCCCCCCGTTCGCTCGTCCGAAGCTAGGGGGGGACCTCCGGAGGGGACGAGCGAAGAGGGGATGGATCAGTGACTTGGTTCATGCCGGCTCGAAGAAACCCAGAGATAGAGCAGTTTGGGGCCCACAGGTGATTTTCAGTCTATCTACTGTATTTTGACAGTGGGTTTGTCATCTAACCCTGGTTTTTGTTGAGTCATAGCCGCCATCTTTTGGTGGGTAGGTTCGTGTTGGTTTCGTGTTCCAGCAACGCTGGTGGTCCAGGATCAGAGTGGCATAGCGCATGCCTTGAGCGAGGATGCCTTGGCTGCGATGGCATCGTGGGAGGCTCTGCGGCTCCATTTGGGAGTTTGATGGAGTTGCCTTCCAAACCACTCGAGCTTCCATGTGAGAAGGACAGTTTGGACGATAGCTTCGCACTTTTGATCAAAAACAAGTTTTTGACCAGAGAAACCCGCCCCGTCCCGCTAGATTGGTCGATTCTCCTTCTTTCGTGCTCCCATGTGGCAGCCTCTCAGGTCCCCCCTGATACATTCGAGCATGTTGGTTTTGGGGGAGGGTAGCGTTTCCGGAGAACAGACGAGCGCCGTCGGCTCGTTTGTTGGGGGGGCTGCGGCTCCTTCCAGCTGGTCTGACGTGAATTGCGAGGGCTCGAGAGAGAAAGCAGGGAAGGGATGCATTGCTTGGTTGGTATGTTTGCTGGTTGGTTTGTCTCTTTGTTTTGTGTTTATTAGTTCTTTTCTTTGCCTGCTTGCCTGCCTGCCTGCCTGCGTGCTTGCTTGGCCTTGCTTGGCCTTGCTTGGCCTTGCTTGGCCTTGCTT